ACGGTGCACTGCACAGCCACCGTGTCGCCGGCGTTCGTCGGGTCGTCACCGAACGACAGCGCTAAGACCTGGGGAGGGACTGACACAGCCAAGAAACGTGACATGAGAGGGGAAAGATCTCGGTGATGGACATCCTGGAAGGAGGGAGAGGGATGGGTAGGGGTGGAGGTATTCACAGATTTACCAAAGTAAACGAGAAAAAACAGTATGCAAAAGAAAACACAACTACTTTCTGAGAAGACAAGCACCCAGGCCCCGACGTCACAACCCGTGCACCGCGGCGTACCCTGCACGTTGAGCTCGGCGGCCTGCACGTCCTGCCCCGCCTTGTTGGAGGCCCTGCACGAGTACTCGCCGCTGTGGCGCGCCTGCACCGCCTCCACGCTCAGCACGCTCGTCTTGTGACCGGCCTTGGTCACCTCCATGTCGCCGCCGGCCTGGACCTCGGCGCCGTCGAAGTACCACGTGATGCTGATCGGGAGGTCACCCTTGACGACGGTGCACTGAACGGCCACCGAGTCGCCCGCGTTCACCGGGTCGTCGCCGAAGGACAGCGCCAGTATCTGGGGTGCAACTGTGCGTACCGGGGCCGTGTTCAGTTCAAAAGAAGGGGCCTTCGTGGAGAGAAAAGTACCGCGGGTTGGGTTGGTGGGTCCACATTGCAAATACATCGGGAGCCGATTCGCAAAATCATAACAAGCTGACGAAATCAAGAAGAAGTGACGAGCTACGAACAACACCATGCCCTTCGCTGCTCTACGCCGTGCCCCGTGGGGGGCCCGGGGGCCGTCGTACCCTGCACGTTGAGCACCGCCGACTGGCTGTCGGAGCCCGCCTTGTTGGAGGCCCTGCACGTGTACTCGCCGCTGTGGCGCGCCTGCGCCGCCTCCAGGCTCAGCACGCTGATCTTGGCGCCCGCCTTGGTCACCTCCACGCCCTCGGCGTCCGGCCTCAACTCCCGCCCGTCGAAGTACCACGTGATCCCGATGGGCGCGTCGCCCTTCACAACCGTGCACTGGACGGCGGCCGTGTCGCCAGAGTTGATGGGGTCCTCACCGAAGGAGAGGGCCAGTATCTGGGGCGGCACTGGGTGTTGGGGGAGGAGGAGTGAGTGAGTGTGGAAACATTGTGAGGGCAGAACAGATGTATGGGACAGCGGGAGGGGAAAAGGGGAGGTGGAGGAGGACCAAACCACCAAACCATAAGGCAAACCCAAAAGGCACCTGCTACTACACTACAGAGCGCCTGTCGCCGACATCAGCGACAGCTTTCAGCACAACACGCGCTTATCGCAGCGACCAGTCGTACCCTGCACGTTGAGGACCGCCGACTGGCTGTCGGAGCCCGCCTTGTTGGAGGCCCTGCACGTGTACTCGCCGCTGTGGCGCGCCTGTGCGTCCTCCAGGCTCAGCACGCTGATCTTGGCGCCCAGCTTGTTCACCTCGACGCCGTCACCCGAGTGCACCTCCTGCCCGTTCAAGTACCACGCGATGCTGATGGGCGCGTCGCCCTTCACCACCGTACACTGCACGGCCGCCGTGTCGCCCGAGTTGATGGGGTCGTCGCCGAAAGAGAGGGCCAGGATCTGCGGGGCCACTGTCACCAAACACGACCACAGAGCTCAAAGAGGGGGGAGGGGCGGATGGAAGAAGGCGGTATAGGTTTTTAAAAGGAAAATAAAATAAACAAGACACGTGGAGACCTTAAAAACATCAGCAAGTACAGCTCCATCGACACTGCTACCGCATGCAGCCCCCAAGACCTCTATATCCCCGAGTGTACCCTGCACGTTGAGCAGCGCCGTCTGGCTGTCCGCGCCCGCCTTGTTGGAGGCCCTGCACGTGTACTCCCCGCTGTGCTCCGCCTGCACTGACTCGACGCTCAGCGCGCTGATCTTCTGCCCCGTCTTGGTCACCTCCATGCCGCGCCGCCCGGGCACCACCTCCTCGCCGTTGAAGAGCCACGTGATCTTGACGGGGGCGTCGCCCTTCACCACCGTGCACTGGACGGCCGCCGTGTCGCCAGAGTTGATGGGGTCGTCGCCGAAGGTGAGCGCCAGGATCTGGGGCTTGACTGCGAGCACGTGGAGCACGGTTTGTGAGCGCCCGAGCGCGGACCCTGCTCTACCAACGACGCAGCGCCCACCCGACGCGGAACCGACAAGACCGTGTGTTGGTTGGAAGAGTTGGGGAGGTGGGTAAAGGGGTGAGGGGTAACCAAAGTTGGAATGAGCATAAAATACGCCGCATAATCGCACTACGCAAGACAAGGGCTTCTACAGACGGGGATGTACCCAGCACGTCGAGCCTCGCGGACTGCTTGTCCTCGCCGGCGGCGTTCCTCGCGGTGCACGTGTACAGCCCGCCGTGGCGGTAGGCGACCGTCTCCACCGTGAGCGTGCGCACGCGGTTGCCGAGGCGGCCGATCTCGACGCCGTCCCCGGACTGGATCTCGCGACCGTCCTTGCTCCAGCTGATGTTGACGGGCATGTCGCCCTTGATGACGGAGCACTGCACCGCCACCGCGTCCCCGGCGTTGACGGGGTCCTCGCCGAAGGACACCGGGGAGATGACGGGCGGCGCTGCGGGAGGGAGGGACAGCCGGGGGAGTCAGAGGGGCGGGTTACGAGATGGAAACAGGGTTGGGAGAAGGAGAGGGGTAACCAAAAGCAAACGAAAACAAAATGTCTACTGCAGCCATGCCCGGTCCATGCCCGAGACCCTACCCAGCACGTCCAGCCTGGCGGACTGGCTCTCGGCGCCCGCCCTGTTGGAGGCTGTGCACTTGTACGTCCCGCGATGTCGTTCCGCTACCGGCTCGATGGCCAGGGTGCTGATCCGCTGCCCAGCCTTGCTGATGTCCACGCCGTCGTCCCCGTTCGAGATCACCTTCCCGTCCTTGCTCCAGGTGATGTTGACGGGCATGTCGCCCTTGACGACCGAGCACTGCACCGCCGCGGCGTCCCCGGCGTTCACGGGGTCGTCGCCAAAGGAGAGCGCGGCCAGAACCGGGGAAACTACACAACAAGGGATAGTCCCGTCTAGTGTCTGCATCGCTTTGCCGTGATAGGCGACGGCAGGCGAGCCGACAGAGCGACGCAATGGAGGGGACGACTAACCGGACGGAAACCACACCTAGCAATAGCAACAGCCGAAGAGACTCTACCAAAACCTAGACCTTAAAAGTAAAATTCGAGGGGCTCTGACACCGGAGAAGGGGCTGGAGGGGTGAAAATAAAGTACGGAAAGGGGAGGGACAGTAAGGGTCTGATAAAGCTTAAGTGAAAGGAGAGGGGGGTAAGGATGGCAAGGTAGGTTGGTATACATAGGAAGTGAGAAGCAATAAACCTGAGCAAACAAAATGGGTCTACAGCAGCTATGTCACGCCCGCCCCAGGCCCCGTCCTACCCAGCACGTCCAGCCTGGCGGACTGGCTCTCGGCACCCGCCCTGTTGGAGGCCGTGCACTTGTACGCGCCGCGGTGCCGCTCCGACACCGGCTCGATGGTCAGCGTGCTCACGCGCTGCCCAGCCTTGCTGATGTCCACGCCGTCGTCGCCCGACCTGATCACCCTGCCGTCCTTGCTCCAGGTGATGTTGACCGGCATGTCGCCCTTGACGACGGAGCACTGCACCGCCACAGCGTCCCCGGCGTTGACGGGGTCGTCGCCGAAGGACAATGCGGCCAGGACCGGGGACACTAGACAAGTTTCCGTTTTCAGAGACTCTTCCTTTGCCACCAATCTTTATTTGCGAGAATATCTCCAGTCTTGCTGACCACAATTTTCAAGACAACCACCCAAATAGCACGAAGTCGGGGAGCGGTGAGGGATAGGGAGGGAGAATACAGTAAAGGTGGAGCAGAAGAGAGTGTTCACTGCAACTGCCAACTACAACTGCGTCATCATGTCACAAATAACTACGCAAAGAAACGAAAACAAAAGAAGTAAAGACAAATATACAGTCACGGAACAGTACCCAGCACGTCCAGCTGCGCCGACTGACTCTCGGACCCGGCCTTGTTGCTGGCCCTGCACGTGTACTTTCCGCTGTGCCTCTCGCCGACGGGGTCTATGCTCAGCGTACTGATGCGCTGGCCGAGCTTGCCGATCTGGACGCCGTCACCGGACTGCAGGTCCACGCCATCCTTGCTCCAGCGAATCTCCATGGGCATGTCGCCCTTGGGCACGGAGCACTGCACCGCCGCCGCCTCGCCCGCGTTCACTGGGTCGTCGCCGAACGACAGCGCGGCCACGGCCGGCGCCACTGACATAGGTGGAAGGACCCGTTTTGAGTCGATGGGGTGCAAGGTCAGGGGGGGAACGGTAGGGGACGGGGAGAGCAAACTGTCTACTGGAGAGCGGGCGAAAATAAAAGAACAAAACAAAACATCGCAAACTAACAAGTCGTGCCAGCCCAACAGGGGCGCACCTATCACGTTGAGGACGGCTGTCTGTGAGTCGCGACCCGCCGCGTTGGTCGCCTCGCACCGGTACTCGCCGGTGTGCTCCGCGCGGGTCGCGTCGATGGTCAGGTAGCTCATCTTGGCGCCCCGCTTGTCCACCAGGACGCCGCGCTCGGCCTGCTCTTGGCGGTAGGGCCGGCCGTCGATGAACCACGCCAGCGCCACGGGCTGGTCGCCCTTCACCACCATGCACTGCAGCCCCGCCGTGTCGCCCTCGTTGATCGGGTCGTCGCCGAACGACATGGCGGCCAGGAGCGGCGGCACTACAACGACGTTTCCAAACTTCATTGACTGCGACTTCAGCAATTTCGATTTTTGTTCAGCCGCAAGACCGGAACGGAACAAGGGAAGCGACCACGGGGCAACGCCGAGGGAAAAGGGTGTGATGGGGAGAGCGGCAGTTGGGGAGGGAGGGGGATGGAAAAGGGTGTCTACTAGAGTGCGGAATCAGCAAAAAATAACAAAACAATAAAATAAAACAACGCAAAAAAACTAAGAAATCGTGCCACCGAGCTACCCGCAGTGGCCGCACCTATGACGTTGAGGGTGGCCGTCTGGACGTCGCGACCAGCCGCGTTGGTGGCCTCGCACCGGTACTCGCCGGTGTGCTCCGCCCGGGTCGAGTCGATGGTCAGCAAACTCATCTTGGTGCCGCGCTTGTCAACCATCACACCGTTCTCGGCCTGCTCGGGGCGGTAGGGCTGGCCGTCGATGAACCACTCCAGGACGACGGGCTGGTCGCCCTTTATCACCATGCACTGCAGCCCCGCCGTGTCTCCCTCGTTGATCGGGTCGTCGCCGAACGACATGGCGGCCACGAGAGGCGGAACTACATGTCAACAACGTTGTTTTAAAACCAAATCTGCTTGCAAATTTTACCCAATCATGTGCTACCTCTAGCTTCTGTATCGTGTGGCGTTCCATAACGACGATGACAAGACGCAGACAAACGACTGCGACGGGCAACGGGAGAAAACGCGGATAGAATATGGGGTTAAGGACGTTAATGGACAGGGTTGGGGGTATCTACGGGAGAACGGGCCCAGCAAAACAACAAAACGCACAAAAAAATAAAAGAACGCAAAAACTAAGAAGTCATGCCACCGAGCTGCTCGTGGTGGCCGCACCTATGACGTTGAGGGTTGCCGTCTGGACGTCGCGACCCGCCGCGTTGGTGGCCTCGCACCGGTACTCGCCGGTGTGCTCCGCCCGGGTCGCGTCGATGCTCAGGAAGCTCATCTTGGCGCCCTGCTTGTTCACCAGCACGCCGCGCTCGGCCTGCTCGGGGCGGTACGGCCGGCCGTCGATGAACCACGCCAGCGCCACGGGCTGGTCGCCCTTCACCACCATGCACTGCAGCCCCGCCGTGTCGCCCTCGTTGATCGGGTCATCGCCGAACGACATGGCGGCCAGGAGTGGCGGCACTACAACGACACATTCACTCCTCACTAACTGCGCCTTTTCTATTGTTTAAAACCTCTTCTTCTCCGTGCTGCTACTGCTGCTGCTGCTTCTGCTTCTGCCGCTGTCACTGTAGTCCTATGCTCACGAAGGACCAAAAGAGAAGCGAGCACCGCGGGGGAAGGGAACGGGGGACGTGAGCGAAATCATAAGAACGCAACTTAATACGTACAAAAACGACCCATACACTAAAACAAAATACAAACGAAAAGACAACAACAACACAAAGTAACAAGCGATAACCAAAATCAGACTAAAGCGTCGTCGAGTCTATAGGATGGGGGGAAAAAGGACCTTTGACGGTCAGCGGCGCGGAGTACGAGGCGGTGGCCGCCGCGTTGCTCGCCACACACGTGTAGTTGCCGACGTGGCGCGGGTCCACGGCCCCGATCATGAGCAGGCTGACGCGCTCGGCCAGCTTCATGACCGTCACGCCCCGGGCCACGGCCGCGTCGGCGCCCGGGAAGGACCAGGTGATGTCGAGCGGCACGTCGCCGCTGGGCACGACGCACTGCAGCTGCGCGATCTGGCCCACCGGCAGCGGCAGCTCGCCGAAGTAGAAGGGGTTGATGGTCGGAGGCTCTGCGGGCGGACGTGTGGCGAGTCACGTGAGCTCGAGGGGTGCGCAAAGGAGGTGTGGGAGCACGGGACGGGGCGGGCGTGGGGGAGGAAGGGAGTGGGCAGGAGGAAACAACAAAAGAGAAAAGAAAAAGGACAACCGAAGAAACAACGCACTAGATTGGAAAACCACAACTACAGCGTAGAGATCGGACGGAGGGAGGGAGGCGAACCATTGACTTGCAGCTCCGCCGTCGAGTTGACGACGCCCGCCGAGTTTCTGGCGATGCACGTGTAATTCCCCCGGTGCTCGGGACCGACGGCGTTGATGGAAAAGAGCACGGACTTGTCCCCGAAGGGGGCAGTCACGATGGCCAGAGCCGTGGACCTAATGTCGCCGCCGTCAAAGTGCCACTCGATCTTTACCGGCTTGTCGCCCTTGGGCACGTGGCAGTTGGCCTGGACACTCTCCCCGGCGTTTACAGGACCATCGAATTGGAAGGGCGTGATATATGGAGCCACTGGAATTTGGCGCGAACCAGTAAGAGGGCGTGTACCGAGACAAATGCAAAAGACTTTCGGAAGAACCCGACAGACATAAAAACAGGGGCAAACAAAGTTCTAAGGCATGTGACCCTTGGAGATATGTACAGTAATACCTTGGCTGAAATAAATCTAAACAAGGATACAGAGACTTACCTGATTTCATACAAAACCTGAAACTCACAAGACAGGGAGAAAACAAAAAATAGCTCTTTGCAAAATAAAAATGTTTGAAAAAAGGAACAAGGGCAAGTAGGGCACTTAACAGGGTATATACATGACACAATCCTAGGAAGAAAATGTCCTGAAAATTATGTTCAAAATGTTTGAGGCTATTTAAGAAAAAAATAAAAGAGTGACAAACTCTATTCCAGGTTACAGAGAAATGAGAGAAAATCGGAATCGAATCTTGAAAGCCTCAAACATAGGGAACATCAAACAAGTACTCTGAAAACATTAGAACTTTTACATGACACAAACAATAATTTTTCATTTTGATTGGAAAGTATTGCAACCAAATTATTATTTGTGTCATGGTGGAACTCTTTTAACTTACCCATAACTGCAACTTCCAGGTTTCCTTTCACTAAAAATCCTTGTTCATTTTGCACAACACACGTGTATGTCGCTTGATCAGACTGCCTTTCCACATTTTCTATGATCAGTGTGCCATTGGGGAAAACTTTCTGTTTACGATTAATAGGAAGAGTACGGCCATCTGCAAAACAAAAAACAGTGTTGTGTTGTTACACCATGGTATAGTAATTGCTAAGGTGAAGACAAAAGATGAATTAGTTTGAAAAGTTGTTCTTACCTCTTTCCCAAGTGATTGATTTAATTGGGTATCCAGCAGCTGGGCAGGTAACAAACAAAGTTTCTCCGGAAACAATTGGGCGCTTATCCATTGGGCGGATGAATGGGACACCATACACGTTGAGCCTTTCAGCATGTTCAACAGATCCAACCTTTGAGGATGCAATGCACTTGTATAGACCACCATCGGCTGTTTGAATTGATGAGATGTTGAGATGAGAAACCACATTGCCATTGCCGTTCATTTTTAAGTATTGCCCAACTTGGATTCTCTCCCTGCTTGTCAGTTTCTTTCCATCAAGCTCCCAAGTAATCTCAGGGGTTGGGTTTCCAGAAGCAACACACATCAGATGGACAGGTGGGCCAGGCTGGAGAGTCTCAGATTGGAAAGCGTGAACGATCAAGGGTGGATCGACTAAAAGAGAAAAATAAAAGATGAGTAAAATAAGATCAATAAAAAGTCTCACAAAAGGTACATCACTTAGGTTTTACTTACATCGACTCCCCAGTTTAAGCTCAGCAATTGCTTGGGCACTCTCTTGGTCGTTGCGAACAAAGCATTGGTACATTCCCTTGTCTTCCTTCTTGATAGAATCAATCCGAAGTACAGGTCCATCATGATTGAGAGCCTTGCCATCCTTGCTCCATGTAATGGTTCTCACGGGATTGCCTTTGTATACACAGGTAAAGACAGCAGGTCTTCCAAAATCCACAGTTTGGGTTGGAGGGTCAACAGTTGCTGACAAGGGAGCTGAAACACCAGACAAAGATTCCAAAAAATAAAACTCATGCCGAATTTGTAATAAGGTTTCCGAGTAACAAAAAATAAACACCGACCTGTAACGGTAAGGACTGTTTCCACACTTTCTCCTCCGACGGTGTTGTTGACGACGCAGAGGTATTTGCCAGAGTCTGCGACAACCGCTTCCTTGATGATCAGAGTCCCGCTGACCTGCTTGACCCGGTCGTTGAGGGTGACGGCCCGCTTGCGAGTGCTGCCTTCGTCGAACTTGTACCACCTGAAAGCATACCCACATGTTTAAATCCATTCTTGAAGACCCTTTCATGAGAGATCAAATAATGTCATCAAAAGATGTAATACAGCACACGTACTGAGTACTCTAAGCTGGATTTTTTCTTCTGGTTATATGCAAAAAGAAAAAGTCCGGCGTAGAACAGCCACCGCGTGTGTGTTGATAAGATCATCTATCTCTCAATGAAATAGTCAGCGGAAAATATTCTCAAATAATTTCATTGTAAGTTGAAAAATGGAAATAGGGAAATTTTCAAAGGAATGAACAAGGGGATCATTTTATCTTCGGGACTATTGATGCGTGCTGCGCGATTGGTTATGGCTAGGCCACATCGTAAGTGTTACGGAAGGACGCTCTATGGAAGTTGTCCATTTCGTGATGTGCTCGGGCGGATGTGTGAAACGGGAAACGAGTCCGTGCTCACCTGTAGAACGGGACGGGGAAGCCCTGTCCGGGACACAGACCCACAAACGTTTCCCCTTCCTTCACGCCCTTCACTTCAATGCTCTTACTCGTCACGCGCGGAGGGACGTGACCCGTTGGCTCTGCAAACGTGTGATTCCGTCACGACGTGTGACACGCCCGTCACGTGTGCCGAGAGCGTCGTTGGGAAGGACCCCCCGTTGAGCCGACGGCAACCGTTCGCGGTTACCTTTACTTACCGGTACTTACCATAAAACTGACGAATCTCGCACGAGACGGAACTCTATCAATGATTAATAAAAAAATTACCGAGAGGCGGCGCGTGAATCGAGCCCCTCTACAAGGTTACCTGTAGAACGGGACCGGAAAGGCCTGTCCTGGACACAGCAGGGCGACGTCCCGCCCCGAGTCCACGTCCTTGAACTCAATGCCATTCCTTGCAATTTTAGGCCTCATCGTATTGGTGGGCTCTGGAAAGAGTAGGGATTGTCGTCCAGTCCCAGTCCGGGGGAGTCGTTGCCTGAATGACGCCTGATCGGGGTGTCGGGTACGCCTGTGACCGTGTCGCCCGCGTGCCGGTGGTGCTGGTCTACCTTTGCTTGGACGCTGCCCCGTCGCGACGAGCTACGTACCTGGTGTGCGGCACGGGGAAGGCCTGCGCCAGACACAGCAGCGTGGCGTCCCTGCCGGAGCGGAGGGTCTTCTCGTGCAGGCGGCCCTCGGGGACCCGCGGCGCCACGCTACTGGTGGGCTCTGGGGGAGGAGAACGAGGGGGTCGTGGTGGTGGCAAATCTCTGGCTGCTGGGAGGGGGGATATGGAGACCTACGCAGCCGACAGCCACTCGTCGGAAATGCAAGAGCCAGGACTCGAAGGGGAGAGTGAGGGAGGGCTGGCAGCTTACCTCTGGAGGCCGCCAACGAGAACGCCACGAACTTACCGGAAACGGGGCACGGGGAAGGCGGTGGCCTGGCAAGGCAGGTACACGTCGGCGCGCTGGGGGGCGAGGAGGATCTCGCCGCCCTCGTACTTCTTACCGGGCGCCTTGGGGGCGATGTTGCTCGTGGGCTCTGTATGGGGCATGCGGCAAACCACGAGCCCTCTTTGAGTAGCAGCCCCGCCGTCGGCCCACAAGAGAACACTCGTCGCGGCCTGAATGTCGGGGGCTTCGGTACCGACCTGTAGCGCGGAACGGGGAAGCCGGGGACCTCGCAGAGGATGACGGCGGTGGCGCCACGGGACACGTCCAGCACCAGGCTGCCGTCGATCCGCCGGCCGCTCAGCCGCGGGGGGATGTTGTTGGTGGGCTCTGTGGGGGCGGGGTGGTGGGGTCAAGGGTCAACAGACTGACCTGAACACTGGGACGGGGTACCCGGCCACGGGGCACAGCAACAGGACCGGCGCGCCGGTGGGGTGGGTCACCAGCCGGCCGCCCTCGTACCGCTCTGCTCCGGAGGACCTGGGCCCGATGTTGCTCGTGGGCTCTGCAAGGGG